CGGTAAATGATAAATATTTGGGGAAGACTATTTCTGGTCTCCATGAAATAAGCTACCTAAGTGAAGTTCACTGGATGGAGCTGCCAGTGAATAATCTTTGGCATTCTAAACCACTTCTCTCTCTTTTCCTCAGACATCAATCAAGAGAGAGGTAATTCATTTTATTTCCTTAATTTCAGTAAATTTATTCATTTAGAGAAAGAGTTTTAATTCATCTAAAAATCCTGTGCTCATAGACACCAAGTTTTAGCACAGTGGAAATGCCATGAATCTTACAATGATAGTCCTGGTGAAGAAGGTCTTGAAATACGGGACCAGCTTCCCACCTAGGCTGTGTCACTGACTGGCTGTCTCACTTATGGCAAATCACTCTCTGTCCTGAGTCTCAGTTTCTGGTCCATAACACTTGGCTCAGACACCCACCTCTCTGGGTTGGAGGGTATACCTGGAACATAGGAGGTGCTCAATAAGTAACTACTGAAATTGAATAAATGTCAGTCAGTGATGGCTTTAGAAATACTCATGCCAAATGCATTTTAGTCAAAGTTATCTTATTAAGCAGTTCCCTGGGTTCTAAAATAATATGTAGAGATGATATGATCCTTTTCATACAAATATCATGATGCACCAATAGGCCATGCATCACTACACTACACTACCTTTGGTAGGCTTCCAATTCACTTGAAAATGAATTCTAGGAAACTAACCTTCACAATTAGCTGGAAATGTAACAACAGAGCACTTACTGTCTCTAGAGTACTTTTATTATTCTGTCAAACAAATCACAATAAATAATTCACTCAGCCAAAATTACTCAACCCATTTATTCTATAATTAAAGAGACTATTATCTTGAAAAAGTTCATGTGATTAGTTTCTGACTGTTAATGATTTGAAAAACTCTGAAAATCTTTGAATTTCTCAATTAGCTCTCTTTAGCCCCACACAATAAAATTGTTTATGGTCAGCTTACTCTAAAGTTTTAGTGGAATTCAATTGTTGACTCACAAACAATAAATGATTAAATGACACTATTAGTCATTCTTTTTTTAAGCAGCCTGCTTTTTAAACAGAAGGACTCCAACCAAAATATGTGGTCATAAAAATATCAAGCAGATTAATTTTGGCTTGTTAATGGCAGAGAATGTCACTTCACAGCTATAAGAAAAAACATCAGATCTGGAACTGGAAGGACCAGAGGGAACAGATAGCCAGAAAGAAAGGCAATAAAGAAATAAAATGTCTTCCAAGCACACTAAAGCAAAACAAATGATTGGATTTGGGATTTAACAAAATATAATCTTATTTGTCTTTGCTCTTTCACCAATTCATTTTTCTACACTAAGACAATATGAATTTCCCCTTTTCGAGCCATGATTTTCTCCTATGGAAAAGATTGCCGATAATTAACAGAAACCCAGAAAAGGATGTCGGTTGTCAGTAGTTCGACACATTAGCTTTTTGTGCTTAGAGAATGTTGTGTTTGAAACACAGTTTAATGTCCAAAATGATTTTCGTTTAGTTCTGGTAAGTGGTAAAATAAGAATAGTCAAATCAGAGACAGTTATTGAATTATATCTGAAGAATTAATAGTGCTTATTTTAGAGATTTAATTTAGCAGTCATGTTTACTTTTTAGTAAAGATTATCTTTAATAAGAAAACTAGTGTCATCATGGAACAACTGGATTTGTTTTTAAGTTTGACAATTCAATGTACCAAAAGCTAAAGCTGAAAATCTATATTTTATCAGGCAAGTACAGAATGACATATCTGTTGACAATTTGAGGTTAAATTCTAGCCCCACGATTAAGAATGAGGACAGTATCCTTGTAGCAAACAGATCTTAGTTAAACATATTATTAATCTGTATTGCAAGGTATTATCCAGTTCTCTGGAGGATGCCACTCACTGGGCTGGCTGAATAAGATCAGTCTATCACAAGTTTTTCATCTTTGACTTTCTTCATAGGCCCGGAGTAGAAACCTGTCTTTGAAAAGCATGTTAAAAGGATACATGAAAAGCTTGTGCAAAATAAACTGTAGCACCTGGGGCTTCTTAATTTTTATATTATAATACCTTGGACTTTTCTACCTCGACATATTCAGAGTGAATTCTTTGATAAAAGGAGAGAGAAATAAATTACATATGGAATGAAGAGAGAGCCTTTATTATCATTTTAATAGTTCACAGACACATAAAAGGGAACCTGAACCTAAAAATATTCACTGACTTAGCAATAAAGAAAATTTAATATGTTATGAAAAATGGAAACAGTCTTTTGAAGCAATGTGAATATGCAACTTTTCAAAGGCTTCAGGAAAATTTAATGAAGAAAAATAAAACCAAACCATTAAATGGCTCTGTAAATAACTAGCGTTTGCTCCTCCTATGACATTTTTTTTTAACTTAATGGAAATACTGAATATATCCATAGACTATCAGAGATCATGGGCAATGAAATTCCAGACATCAGAAGCAATCTCCTTTTTATGAACAGCTTCATAAGCAACCGTAACAAACAGCCCTCACTTTTAGGAGACAGCATAAAGATTAAGTATGGATATAATATGCAGCTTGGGTGGTTGGCATTGGATTAGAATGTTATTTATTCCTAACCTTTTCAGGATATTCTTAGATTGTCTTCTAATGAGATCACGCATTTTCAGTGTGTGCAGTCTGCTTTCAGATTGCCTGTTTTTGTTGGGATGGTGGTTTTGATATTTTGAATAGAGGGAGTGATGCCTGGGACTCTTCCCATATGATCCTAATTATCTATACATTATTCTATATTCTCTGCCACAGAGATGCTCTTGCCAGAGCTATGATCCTTCCAAACAGCATCCCATTGAGACGTGCAAAATTGAAAATTAAAACAGGAGGGGTTTTTATTATTATTATATTTGAATGACATACAACCTGCTCAATGTTTGCATTTAAATTGGCCAGAATAATTCAGCTCTGGCTTTTAATTTCAGAAGGGTTAATCACCCTAACAAAGGTCAATCAAACTTTAATCTTCAATAAAATTGCTGCAGCTCCAATCACCTGCAGGACATTTATTACACTCCTATTTCCATGCGAAAGAATGCATTGCTCTCATTATGCACCACTAATCTAACTCTTTACATTAGCACATTTTACCAAAAAATATTAATTCCTTTGAAACTCTGACAAGAGTTCATTTCTACACATCTCAGGAGATAATCCTGTTTAAAGGAAAGGGTGCATTACCCGTGAACCACTTTCCTAGACCTTTCTAATCCTCATAGACCTCTGCTACTCCAACTGAGTTGATACAATAGCAAATCTCAATTACATAAAACACGATACAGGTTTAGGTTAAAACAACATTATATTATTTTATGAACATAATCCTCCTTATTGTCTGTGCTTATACCATTCATCTATTTGTGTCTGTCTATAATGTTTACCACATACAAAAGTTACTATTGATTTGGAGGAAGCAAATATTAACCATATTTGAACAGCAGCAGAAAGACTTCAATTCATTAATTCACTCACTCAATAAAAACAAATTGTGTGCCTATTATGTACCAAATACTAGGAGGAGGAAGATGCGAAGTCAAAGAAAAATAAAAGAGGGTTTCTGTTATGAGAATAACATTCTTTTCTGAAAATGATGCCTGGAAAACAATCAAATATTTCTTGAAAGCTTCACTTTCAGCTTTTTAAAAAATTATTAACCTCATTCAGTTTCAGTAAATATTAAAAATGCAAGTCAATGTTCAGCAAAATTTCAATAAGTGGCTTTTATGAAAACATCTGGACACTGAAAACTCTAAAATTCATATCATAACATGATTCCCTTTTAAAATTTGAGAATATAAAATTTTATTGTCAAATTTTAAAATAACTCTACACAAACCACTAGTCTCCCATGGTTAGGAATATAAAACCATGAGTAAGTTTAAATGGGCTGATTAAAAATATACATGGTATAAATTAATTTGTTTCCAAAATTTTATTTCACGATGTTTGAACCCTGCTATTAACATGAAAGACAAAGAATAACAGGCAAAAACCAAACTGGTGTGTGTGTGTGTGTGCGTGTGTGTTTTGCCATTATATAGTGGCCTGAATGACCACATAGGGAAAATAAAAGGACCTTAATGTATGTCTTGAGTTATATAGCAAATTGATTGCCTTGCTATGACAGCAGCGGTGTGACACAGCATAAATAAGCCAAACTTTGCCTTCTGCATATTTTTTGAGATGCCTTCCTGCCTCTGTTCTCGGAGGCAGCGCGCAGGCACATACACAGAGGCACATGTCCCTCTTCACCGGTATTCATGTTCATCCAACAGCAATATGTGATGGCTCTAATTTGGGAAACTCCCCAGAGCTTGAATATTCAATCAAGCAGAGCAAATTACAGTGAAAAGAAAATACAGGTAAAACGGTCAATGGTCAGACTGGCATTGGGGGAATAGCACACCATTTCAAGAAATACCGGTCTCTCTAAACGTAAAAAGCCCCAATTACTTCGTTTAATTAAAATCAAGATTTCAGCCCTTCCATCCCCGACTCTGAGCATTTCTTAAAACTAAAATAGAACCTCTACATCTTCCATAACTAGGCTCGTTTTTCTTTTTGCTCCTGTAACTATGTTGATGCAATAGAATGAGACAGAGCAGAGCTTTTACATTGTCGAACAAAATAAATCCAACGCTACCCCATATGAATGTTCAATTGACATTTGTTACCAAGTGATTATTCTGAAACCTGATAAAGATTAGCCAGATACAACAAGAGGCAAAACTCTCAGCACCGAAAAGCTATTTCATTATATTTCTAAATTTCCAGATTTGGGGACAAATGCACCACCAAAGCTCTCAGAAAATATGCTTTACGTACTCAAGAAGCATACGGATCTTTTCTATAAATTATTTTGTTCATGCAACCAAACAGAACCCACCAACCATCACACAAAACAATCTGAATAAGAATCCCCAGGATGTAGAATTAGGAAAGAAACCGACCTTTGGCCGAACAAGTTTGTGATTTCTCCGCTTGCGTACACAGCTTTGCCATTCCACCTCGAGCAGAAGTCGGCTCTGTGTCCCTTGTGATCTTCGTGACAATGCCGTCATATCACTGGCAAATTTTTCAATTAAACTTCGCCAACGTAGTAGCAACTTTGTTAATTATGATATTAGCCAGCTGGCGGGTACAATCAGTCAACCGCTGTAAGAAAGCCAGACAAAGAGACATCTAATCATTGCAACCGGAGCAGATAAATTTTGTTCCTTTCTCAGACGTGTCACAGATTCTCTCCCTGCTGACCCTCTCCTCAGCCATCGGCTGTCAAATTTAGATTCTTGGAGCTCCTCGCTTCCCCTTATCCCTGCCTTAGATCTGAAGCTCCTGGTTATCAGGGAGACACGTGTCACCAGCTGTCTTGGAGCAGGGAAGCAATCAGGTGAATACTACTTATTGTCTTGCATTGCTTTCCGAGCGGTGACAAGAGTGATTTGGGACCAAGAACACACTCAGCTCTCAGACATGCAGTTCTAAGGGTTCAAGTTCAAACAGTATGTGGAAAGTCACAATAGGGAGGACACATTCAGTTTCAGTGTTAAATATATGGGATATTAGAAATTTAAGAAAAATTTTAAAGAAATTTTTCAGAGTTCTTTTTCCAGATGCCTTTGTACTTTCTTACCCACATCTGTGCTACCTTGCTAATATAGATGGGCAGATTGTTACCCAGAGGAGCCAGCTTTATAGCTAAGTAGCCTTACTTCAACCCATGCAAGTGGCATTCTGACATTATTGCCTCCAAGTGTCCCTTTTTTTAAACCAAGAGCAGGATTCTATAGGTTTCAATTTCTGGAACATATCCTCACATATAAATTCAAATTATGTTTGTATAGAATAATGTGAGACACTAATTTGGGCATCTCAGCTAAGAATCATTTATACAATTTTGGATTGAAAAATAGACACTTATCTTTATGCCCTAATACAAATTTTCCCTCAAAAAATGTCAGTCCACTGGAATCATACAGAAGTGTAATTCTATCAAGCAATAGATCAATAGGCAATTATACACCCAAATGCATATAATGAATTTACTGAACTTTAAATACATATTAGGTAACAACTATAACATTCCTATAAAAATGATATAACAACATTTCTGGTAGTGAAACATTCAATTGATCAGGAAAAAGCTTAATCTGCATAGTGAGCCATAAACCCAACATCATATTTACTAAATGATATTTTTCCCCATTGAAATTTTAAGTACCAGTAAAGTAAAAACTGTTCACTGCAGAGTTGAAAAACAGAGTAATATACAGCATGACAAAGTTATAGTCTTCAACAAATTAGTAGGTTTTTCTGGGATGCAAGGACTTGGTGGAAAGTTAAAATGCAATTCTAAAGTGCGTTTAACAGGAATTCTACACATTTGACTCCCTAAAGGGACCAAAATGGTTATCGCTACTTGTGAAAATTGCACTTATAGTGCAGTGTATTAATAAACCATGGTTCATACCCTAAATTTACATTTTATTTTCATATGAGGATGTTCCTGTAATGAAGGGTCTAAAGTCCCTGTACTTGGTTTATTTAGCTTAAAATGCTAAAAAGATCAGTGTTTTAGATGCAATGTAAGATATATGCCATGGGGTTAAGATAATTTAGGGATTCCCAAAGTACAGAGCAAAATGCTTTCATCCTAGAAAAATAAAGATGTTTCTTAAATCCCACCAACACAGAGATGGGAGGGAAAATATCGTTTCGGGAATTCTTAGAAATTATATATACATATCTCTCTCTGGAAGTAAGATATTCTTTACCCTTTGTACCTTGCACTGCTCCTAAGAAATGAGTCAGAGTCCATAAAAGCAAAAGAAGAAAGCAGTCAGAAGTGTTACAAGGACAAGAGTGCTCTGGCACAAGGTCAAGGACAAAACAATCTTAGATATGAGTGCTTAGTAATGTTCTGTAGGGAAATGAGCTGTGCCCTTCACATTCACCATCCTCAATTTGGGGACAATCATGGGGCCTGGCTCATAGCAGTTTCTCAAAAAATACTTGATGATTGAATACTTTTGTTGTACACACCATCCTCCTCCAAGTCTAAGTCACCTACTAATAAATTAAATAGTGCAAAAACATCACTCATTAGGCCTATGTTGGTTACTATATATTAATTAGCATATATTCTTTTCTATTATACTAAAAAACAGGTAATTCTTAAAAATGGTTCAAAGTAGACATTTCATTTAAGATTATAAAATAAGTATATCAATAAGGCTCACTATTTGTTGCCATAAAAATAATTCTAACTCCGAAAGTTAGAGAATGAGTTAAACAGGCCTTTACTCTTTGAACAAGGGCCTTTCTCCTAGGAAATGAAAGGACAATAAAATAAATTATGTACACAAAATTTTTCATTGCAGTAGCATCTATAAGAGAAAATGGAAGCAACCCAATGTTCCTAATGAGGGGAATTATTAAAGAAATTGTAGCAATTACTCGTATGCAGTCATTATGTGATAATGAAGATAACTGAAAAACCAACTTCTTATGACTATACTGAATGGAAAAAAGTCAGAATATAGAATTATACACAGTATATTAACTGCTGTGTATCCTTGGACATTGACTGGGAGGACAGGTGCAAAAATATAAAATAGGTTCTAAAAATATAGAAAGTATTTTTTTTATTTGTTCAAGGTGGAATGGCAAAACTGTGTAGGCAAAAAGCATGCCTTACACAATTATGATTGTGAATTAAAAAAAATAGAAATTAAAAACCACATCTATGAAACGGGAACAAAAATCATAATAATATCCTTCTGACAGGGATTTGGTACTAAACCAGATAACCCATATAACACCTTTTGCATATTTTCTGACCTGCAGTAAATACTCATTATGTATGATAGCTTCCTCATTATCTTTACTATAATAACCAAATAAACAGTCTAGGCATATGTTTTGATATTAACTATATCTTTTACTTTTTCTGAGGCATTACATAAAAGTAACTGAATTAAATGAGGCAATGCTAGAAAAACTCAGGTGATTCGGAAGAAATTGACCTGGAGGAATGGACACCAGGAGAAATCTCAGTGTTCTTGCTTTTATTTCCCAGGGTGGGTACTTGTTGATTTCTGTTCCCTGTGGGCACAAATTCAAACTCAGAGGAAAATCACCTTTCTCTAAGACATGCTGGTGCTACATCACAAATGTTTGTTATACAAATATGACGTATAGGTATGGGGTTTTGAAAGATGGGAGCAGTCAGTGAAAACAAAGCAATCTAGACTTGGACACACTGTCTATGGAGAACCATGGATTCATACAGACCACTAAGTCCCACTCTGTTACGAATGTGATTACAGATGTGCCACCAACTGTCTTCCAGTGGCCCCTGCAACCGCCCTTTTTAATCCCTCCGAATAACTTGAATATGTTCCTTTAAGTCTCAGTCATATACCGTATTTTTCGGACCATAAGACGCTCCGGACCATAAGACGCACCAGTTTTTAGAGAAGGGAAATGAAGAAAAAAAGATTCTGAAACAAATAGTGTCCTAAAATATTTTATGTGCATTAAAACCCAACATCACAGTCATAAACACATGTAATCAACCCTGTAAAGTAAACAGCAGCATTTAGAACCATTTTAGAGCCGGGCAAGCACACAGAGACCACACAGAGCCGGGCAAGTAAAAAAACTTTTTTTTTAAAGTATATGTGTAGGCTATATTTGGACCATAAGACGCAGGGACTTTTCCCCCCCACTTCTGGGGGGGAAAAAGTGCGTCTTATGGTCCGAAAAATACAGTATTAATTGTGTTTCTGTCTTCCAGACTGTTGGATGTAAATTCAAATACCTCAATTCCTGTCTCTGTTATGCTGTGGTCTCAGGAGTCAGACATTCTGCTTCCACGCCATTTCTGGTTCCTGACTTCTTAACTCTGGAACTTGGGGCAAGTTATTTAAACTCATTAAGACGGTATTAAAAAAAAAAAATCCACAACACCTCACAATGCTATTGTGAATGTTAAATAATACATGTCAAGTGCATTGTAAGTATCCAGTACATGCTCTGTCATTGACGAGGTGGCAATGGAATGGCTGGGCAGCAGTGCAACCCCACAATAGCAGCCAGGGATCTAGAATCAAGCTTTTTGGGTCAATTTAAATTCCAGCATTCTCACTTAAATAATTAACAACAACAGCAAATTAACTTCCCCATAGAGTAATAAGAATTAAATGACTACTATCACGTACTTACCACAGAGTAAATGATGTTAGCAATTACTAGTATGGTTCTGCCTCCTATGCTCATTGGTTATTTCTTCATCACTGCTTAGCTGTTGTACAATAAAATTAAACTGGGACTTTGTGAAGACCGGAGAACACATATATTCACATATGTTTGATAACAGGTGGACAAGGGATTTTCATTGCAGTACTGTCTGTAATAGCAAAAGACCGAGGATAATGTAAAAAAGTCACCAAAGGTAACTGGTTAAATGATGTATAATATATCGATACTGGGGAATGACCTGTACCTGTAAAATGAATGGAGTGCTGATATGAAATTATTCCTCTGATGCATTTTAAGAGAAAGAAGAATGGTGTAGAACCATGTGTATCATATTTTATCATTTTGTTTAATGAGTATTTTGTACATGATGTTTTTATATTTAAAGACTATCTTTGAGCCGAGACCAGTTTGGCTCAATGGATAGAGCGTTGGCTTGGGGACTGAGGGACCCGGGTTCGATTCCTGTCAAGGGCATGTACCTTGGCTGCGGGCATATCCCCGGTAGGGGGTGTGCAAGAGGCAGCTGATCGATGACTCTCTCTCATAGATGTTTCTATCTCTCTATCTCTCTCCCTTCCTCTCTGTACAAAATCAATAAAATATATTTAAAAAAAAAAGACTATCTTTGAAAAATATACAAGAAACTGCTCATAGTGCTTGCTTCAGCAGGGAAACAGGAGCATGGGGGGCAGAAGTGGAGGAAAAACTACTCTTAACAGTATATTATTTGCTACTACATGAATTTGTTATATATGTTATAAAACATATTTGTTTTTAAAACATTAACAAATTCCACTTAAAATTTTCATTATTCCTACTTAAAAGTGCAACCAGTATATTTCAGTTTCTCCATAAACAAGCCTGGACATCCTCCACTCTCCCATGCTAGTAGG